AATAATAAGTATAGAGTTTATGTCTTTGTTCCAACCTTTAAAAGATTGCTCCAAAAAGCAAAGAGTTACTGGACAGCCGAACAACAGGTAAAGTATGTTGCCTTTACATTGCTTTCCCATATAGCTTTGTGGTAATGCTGTGCAACACGCACTTAACATGACAGTTTTCAGGCTGTCCTGCTTTGCATGCTGATTTTTTTTTTTAGGAATGAGCGATGTGCCTATCAAGCAGGCAGAAGTAGCCAGAAGTAATTTGATTGTGCCTCTCTGAAATCTCAGGAAAATCTCACTGGGTGTTTATTGAACCAGTCTACTTGCTGTTACATCCAGAGCTGGGCCTCTGCTGTGAAGTTAGGATCCTGTGCCAACTGTTCCCTCCATGCTGGGTCTGTCATGCCAGAGCTTGCTGCTGGCCCATTCTAAAGACAGTAAAAAGCTGCACAAGTACGTACACACACCCATCACCATCCATCGCTTGAGATACTGCCATCCTTCTGAGGGCTGCAACGTACGTTTACACACATGTGTGTATGTGCACACGTGCATGTTACCCCCACAGGTGCACCAAGGCATTCCTAAGCATTTGGCTGCTTCAGGGACAATGCCATCAAGGTCTTCCCCCTAAATCCCCAGCACTGAGGTGGAGACGAGGGAGGATTTCCCCTAGGATAATCTTACAGCTCTCTACTAGAGACCAGGAACGGTAGCTCTGCGTTGCTGAAACACAAAGCTCGTATCTGGCCCTGGAAAAGCTCTCAGCGCGAGGCCTCACCGCTGGGCACTGCTAATGGATGCAACCGTTTTGGTACCCATTTTAAAAGCATTTCAAGATAACAATTTCTCACCTTTGGAATCCTAGAAAGCTGATTCATCCCTGTCCTAAATAAAGCACAGAACTTAGCAGGTAAAAAAACCTTTTAGAAGTAAATACAATGTGTTTTTTAAAACTTTTCTCTGGATTTCTGTAAGACATGTGACACATTCAGTATACATGCCGTGGGCTAAAAGAAATGCCTCACTGGCATTTGTACAGATGGCCTATATAAATCATGCAGAAGGCACAGTAACACCCTCCCAAAAGTGTCTTTTGTTTTTTCTCTCTTATCAGTAAGTGCGGTTGCATCCATATCTATACATATGTATACATATACACAAATATATATGTGTACACATATACAGAGAAATGAGGGTGAACTGACTCCTGAAAGCAGATTATGTATGCTTACGTGTGTGTATTTTCGCATTTATACACATACACTTATATGTATGTAGACAGATACACACATGTATATATACAAACACATACGAAAGTGTAAATACCTACACACACATACATCATTTGCTCTTTGGGAGTCAATCTGCTCATTTCTGTACATAAACAGAGCACAGCAGTAAATTAGAAAAACAACATTTATATAAAATAGTTTCACTTTTCAATTATAAAGTTAATGTAACTTGACTACTAGCTCTATTTATCTCTGTTATGACAATTAATCTGGTTCTAAAGACTCCCTTGTTGCAATGTAAGACACGCTTGCCTCTCGGGAAAGAATAGGAGGAGGATGTTCTACAAATCACAAAGCTGGTGCAGTGTAGACAATATCAACAGTGAGCGTGTCAGATACTGAACTCAGAGCTAAGGAAGTAAAAAGAAATATATTAATCACTGATAAAATTTACATAAGAAAATAAAAATAAACAAAAGATCAATCATTTTGATTCCAGTGGGACTGTGAAATGTGGAGAAAACAAGTCATATAGAATCTACCAATAAAAAAAAAAACCACTAAATGTGTTCTACATACAATACAACAAACTGCATTACTTCCCCACTGAAGATGTTAAAATCTTCAATTGCGCTAGGTAATCTTGCGTATGAAATAATTGCCCTAATGAAAAAGTCGTGTGCAATAATACCTAATAACAACAAAAAGCAGAACAAAAGCAAGTTGAAATTTGGGTAAGACATTCAAAAATTTTTCTAGAAGGGAAAATGCATCAGAATAGCTATTTTCAAATGTACTCTACTTTAACTTTTCCAATATAATCTCTAGCACACACTAGTCTTGAAACAAAATCACTGAAAATCACAGTCTGTGTGCTTTCAAGGCAGAGCTCCTTTCCACAATACATTTACTTTAATCCAGAATCTAGTATCTACCCGCAGAGTTTTTCTGGAATGGCTTCCAGCGAATTTTTCTGTGAATAGAAATTTTAGATCAAGTACTTTTGTGAAAAATGCTATGAAATATACTCAGGAAGAGTACTGTGTAAGTGACACAAAACATAGTAAAACCAAGCATAGTTACTGCTCTAACCCAGTCCTCTGCTAACTAGCAGTCTAGCTTTGGTTTATCTCAGATATCTGCAATTCTGGTACTCTAGCTGAAAAATGGTGATTACCTTATAAATACTCCTCAATGGAATGAGCTTAAGCACCTGCTCAAGTTCTTTGCTAATATCTGGCATCACCTAGCAAATTGGAGCAATAAGCAATCACGGTTATGGTATTGACTGCACTTTGCCATGCTGTTTAGTACCCTGATTCCGTAATATTTTCATTTCCTACCCTCAGTAATTGGCTAAGATTAAGATATCACAACTGGGCGGTCCTATTAAGGATTTAGTAAAAGATAATTTAAGGCAAAAGTTGCTTTCTGGGACAGTCTTTAATATATTTTACTATTTCTCATCCTTTTTAAACATGCCACAAACGGGGTATATTTCAATTTTTTTCAACTCTACCAGTACAGCTTTCCACCTGAAACTTTTTTTCTTTCTCTTTCTTACTGAAGCAGCAGCAGATTCTCCTCTGTTGTGGAGGTGGTGACTCTTCTTCTCCTAATATTGCTCCTTGATCAATCCCTTCTATAATTTGATTTCTACACTTATCCACCTTTCTGTGACAATCAGTCAAGGGTTTCCAATGATCTTATGGCCCATTAAGAAAAACAGAGTCTTTCCATGAATTGTTGGTCAATTAGTTTCATCTTAATGATAGGTGGCATAAGTGGACTTTTTCCTCTTTTTGGAACAAGGTGATAAAATTTGGTTATGTTTACATGCATCTTTCTGCTGAATTCACTGAGGCCCAGAATTAATTCTAGGGACCTTAAAGCCTCATTAGCCTGAACAACCTACGTCATTTAATGGTGGTAAGGGAGAGTTTTTAATTACCAAAGTTTGTGGCATGTGTTTCATTGCCAACACCAAAAATAGCAGAGAGTCACCCTCCCAGTAGCTTCTATGGTTGACATCAACAGTCCTGAGGAATAGGCAAAGTATGACTTCAGAAAGTACAGAAGGGCATGTGACATCTTTATTTTAAATCATTTTGTGTTATTTAAGCAAAATGAGATTGAAAAATATCTGATGGATATAAGGTTCCTTACAGCTCCACACCTTCTCCAGACCACAGACCATACACAGGTAGCAAATGTGAGAACTGGAAACTTGTCTGTTTCAGAGCTGTGCCTGAAAACTGCCACTGGAGCCTTGACCAAGTCGTGTGTTAACTGTCCTGCCTTTCCTTGTCTGTAAAATGGGAACAATTGTGTTCACCAGCCCATTTAACAAGGCCACTGTAAAATTTACTTAATGTCTGTGAAGAGACTAAAAACAGAAACTAGAAGGGCTAGGAGAATAGAGAGCTTCATTCAGCATTACGTTATTTGGGTAGCCAGCTGGCTGATTCCTAGGGTGGTAGTAAGAGGTTGACCCATTTGGCAAAAGCTAATGTTATTTATATTTGTCTTACACTGAAAATTAATGTCCCCGTGGCTAGGGTCTGAGGCTAAGCAGCTTCTATTCCATATCACAAAGCCAGCAAACACCAACGCCACCAGCTCTTCACATGTCTAGGTAAGAGCAAATACAAAAGCCATTGGGGGGGAGCAAAAGGGGACTTAGGGGAAGATGATACAAAAAGAAACATTTCAGAAGATACAGAGCTATCGTTTGGATAGGACCCCTATGACCTCATGACATCACATGGGATATGTTAAATTAGATGGTCTAAATAAGACAACACATTAACAGACTTAGCACTGTTTTGGAAGCCACAGGGCTCTGAATCCAGTTTTTCTACTTACTAACTGGGTGGCCTGTGCAAGAAATTTCATGTTTTTGGGTCCACCTTTTCGATCTATAAAAGGGAACTATAACTACCTCATGAGACCTGGGCAGTACCACTGGGTAATGTTTGTAGAAAACTTAAGAGGGGGGAAAAAAAAGTACAAGTTGCATAACTGCTATTGGCTTTATTAACTTAAATCACCAGGCAGCTGTCCCTCAGCTAGTCAAGTTCATTTTTAATCTCTGACATGTCCCTCTGTCACTGCTTTCCTGAAGAAAAAAGGCTCACTGTTTCACTCCATGCACAGTTTTGCTATTACCTGGATGTTTCCTCCAATATAAAAATTAACATATGAGTAATAGAAAACGCCAGTGTAATGACAAAAGTTCATTTCTATCTTCTGCGCTAATTAAAACAATTCTATCTATGTTACATAGGCGACATCCATCTATGTGGAGCTCTATCTGAAGATGCTGTCTTCATACAATCTCCAAGGACCCCACATGCAAACAATTAAACAACAACGATGAAAACCTCTAGAGCATTTTACAATTATTCTTATACAAAGATCCTGAAATACTTTATAAACATGAAGCATATTACTGGTAGCGGTGGGGAAACTGAGGCACAGCTAAACTAGGTGACACGGCCATGGCTGCACAGAGTTAGTGGCAGAGCAGGGAGACAGCAGCTCCCGAATCTCCTGAACCCTTAAAAGAGGCTCTGGAGACTTAAAAAGTACTGCTCCTTTCCGCTCGTACCTCTCCCATCAAACTTAACATCAAATAGGAGGTAGCCCGCACGGCAGAGAGTCGTTCCGTTCCGTTCCCTTCTCTTCCCGTCCCTTCCCTTCCCCGCTGACAACAGAGATGTCCATCACAGCTGACCCACCACAGCCTGCCGGTCCCCATCCCCGCGTACCCACCTGCTTGTAGGCGTCCAGGAGGAAGCTGTTCCAGACGCAGCGCAGCCCCTCCGAGGTCAGCATCCTCCGCCACTCACCGCGCCCAGACTTAGACCGGCTCAGAAATAGCACCATGTGCTTCAGGAGGATCACAGAGTCATACAGCGCAAGGAAGAGGCAATTGGAGAAAAAGACCGGCAAGATCTGAAGCGTGATCAGCAAATCCACACTTAGCAGACCCATCTTCCTTGCTGCTTCTCTTCAGCCGGATGCCTTCAGCTCCCTTTTTTGCCCTGTACCCTCATTTAAAAAAGTAAAGTAAAAAGCATTTCAAAAGCCTCGTTACCCCTCTCTCAGCCTCTCTCTTTCAAATGAGCAGAGAGTTAAATATGAGCAGGCTGGTTAAAACCGTAACTGCATGATACTCATTCAACTCGGAGCTGCTGATTTTTCAGAAACTAAGATGTTAACGAAAATTCTTCCCTTAACCAGGAGACCTGATTTTGTTGAAGAGAGAGGCAGCTGTGTTTCCAGTTCCCTGCAGTTACAAAATTTAAGCTGAGACTGTTAATTGTTAACTTTCCCGCACTATCCCATTGTTTCTCAGCTATTTAAGCACTGAGCAGACCTCTCATTTCTGTGGCAGTAAAGCTAGCTACCAGGTGCAACAATACTTTTTTTTAAAAAAGGTTTATGTACATAAACTTTCTTCCCTCTCTCCCCCCCACCTCCCCCCGCCTCTCTCTGTTCCTGCCTTCCTCCTCTCGCCCTCTCTCTTGCTATCTGCCTATGGTGCAAAGTGCTTTCCCCTCTGGAGTCCTAGCTTGCTTCCCTGAAGCCTTTTATACATTCCCTAGCTAATTGCTGCAATAGAGAAATGAAACCCTAATCTCAGTAAAGATCTTGACGTCAATGTAAAAGAGGGCTTTACTTTGGCCAGGACTGCAGTGAATAGAAAAATGAAATTCTCAAAACTTTTTTTTTTTTTTTTTTTTTTTTTTGGGAGGGGGAGAAAAAAAAAAGAACAAGAAAGCGGTGGAACTTTGCTTTGCTTTGAAAAGGAAAAAGAAAAAAAAAAACAATATGCTTCTGACTGCTCTTAAGAAATGCTTTCAGATTTTGGAAAAGTATTTTCATATAACATGGAAGGTGACACAGCAACGCAGACTTCTGTTGTCAATGGGGTTTTTTTTCATGGCTGTTTTTTTTTTTTTTTTCCCCTTTGCCCTTTTGTCTTTTCCAGGAAGGTGTGTGAGTTGATGTGTCCCAAGAAAGGGCACATTTCTATATATTTTCCTCCCACCTCCATGGAGTATAGTGTTTAAATACCTTTTGTTGTCTTCTTGGTATTTAAGGAAACATAAGTAAACACTCAGCACTGACTTCATCTACTGATGTGTAAGAGGAGAAGATAAGGAAGAGAAAAAAAAAGTTTTTGAAGGATTTGGGGGTTTTAAAGTTCCCTGATTAAAAATAATATGCTACAGCCTTAAATGCTGTTAATTAATTGAGCTTCAAGGATTTTAATATTCTGCTATGATAACTATTTACATCCACTAGTCTAATAAGGTTAACTAACTTTTGGTTAAAAGCTTACAAAAAAAAAAAAAAGCCAGAAAGAAAGACGTTTCCTCTGGCAGAGCCATGTGTTCTTTAACAACCACAAGCATCCCCTGCAGCCCCATGCTGAAGGTTTTCTTTGTTCATTTGCACTTCTCTTTGTTTCACCTTTTTAGTCCAATATTTAGTCCTTTTTCCACATGATTTTTTTTTGGTACAGGAGTCACTTTTTTTTTTTTTAAAAGCATGGTTCTAACTTCCTTAGTAAATATTTCCTGTATCTGATGTTGTGGACATCCATAATCTTGATTTTGGATGTATGTCTTCCCTATGTGCTTATGTACGCTCACCTCACCAGATATATTTCATTCCCAGAGATGCCAGCATGATATCTCACCTCTGTCCACTCACATCCTTAATGAGTAGTACAAGCTTCCTTCATTAATATATCTTAGTCTTCATCAGTCATCACCATCCTTTCACTGCTAGCAACTGCTGAAGGTAAACACCATCAATTTTCCCTACTCTGGGATCTTTCATGTTTAGATATAATAGTATCACATGGGCTGCCATTATACTAGGATGCACACTTCTAGAAAGGCCACCCCATGTCTTGTCTTGGGCTCACCAAAGAAAAGTTTGTTTAGGTAGCATACCATCAGGCATTTGCAAAAGATATCACCCAGACAGGATATCTTCCAGCAAATGTTTACTCAAAAAAATAACTTTAAAAGGTTACGCACATTAAACCAGTGACCTTCTGCATTACTAGCATAAACAAACAAAAAAAAGGAACTGAGTTTCTTTTTCAAACTATAACAAGTTTTAAGTCAAAATGTTGGTGAAGACAGTGTTCTGTTGCCATAGAAAAGATTGCAACCTCACAGATCTGGCTTTATTACTAAAACTTGCAAAAACACGTTATAAGCAGGCATTTATGTATCCCCACACATGGATGAGTCAGCGTGTTCATGTCATGTGAGCACAACACAGGAACAAGGGTCCCCAGAGCTGCAAAACGAGCTTACTGTCTGACCTTTAGGCAAGCATATGTAATCACTTGATTACAAGCACTCTTAAGCCTAGATTACTCTTCTCTAGATCCACCACTAAAACATACATGATTCTGTCTGGGAAGGTCCCCTTTCTTTATTTAGGGAAGGTTTGTTAAAAGGCAGGCCTGGAGACTGTTGGTGACGATGCCAGATGAATCATCAGCCATTGTTTCTGAGAACAGTTTGCAAACATCTCTGAGGACAGTCTAGCTCAGGCTCTTCCTGTTCCCCAGAGGTAAAGTCAGGCAAGAACCTATGCTGGGAACACGATGTATTCTGGGTTCCTGTGAAACAACTGCCCCTACCCACAACGTGCTTTATGGGTGAAGAGGTTGTTTGTAAGACAGCTGGAGACCAGACGGCTATGGAGCTTTGAAGTGCATCGGAAGCTGAGCAGGAAGCCCATGGAGCACAAGCGTGAGATGCTATTTCATATTTCCTCCGTCACCTTCCTTGCCTATAAGGCAGACTGTGTGTATCAAGTTAAAGAGAACTACCTCAGGTTGTGTATTTGAGAGCTTCAGTCAAGAGATGCTCATAACTACCCAATCCAACCATAAAGACAAAAATGTTTTGACGAAATAAAAATGTAAAAAGACGGTTTTTGCCACCGCTGTCTTCAGAAGCAGTCTGTCCCTGCAGGGCACAAGCACTGCTTCTCAGCTTGCCAGTCAAAGTACAGCAGCTCTCAGCTGAGTAGGAAAGCGTAATCCCTGCATCTTCCTGTTGATACTGCTTCTCTCCTTGGCTGAAACAATTCATCTCTGTGTTTATTTCTCTCAGGCATCAAAAATAAAAGGGAAATCACTATTTGCATCTTTTGTGAAAGACGAGTATCTGCAGCATAATCTCAGTGTTGAAGCCAACGTTCTCTTGTTATTTCCCTGCAGACCTTCATGAAGCAAGGAAGAAAGGCTAGGTCTTTCAGACCTCGAGGCATTAAGAGAGCCTTTACTCTCTTGAAGGAAAACTGGATGAATTTGATACGTGAGAAAGAATTAGGCAGGGTTGAAGATATGCATGAAAGAACTGAGATAGGGTTCAGCTAAAGCTCACTTCAGTTACCTGCTCTGCCATACCTTCCTATATAATTTGGGCACAGCCCTACAATGTACCTCAGTTCTCCATCAGCAAAAGAAAATAAAAGTCCTCCCGTAATCTAAGGAGCAGTCAGGTTCAGTAATGGGAAATTAAACATATCATCCATAATTTGTCAAGGTGGAATGAGCAAAGCCAACAACATTAAAGCATTCACTGTTACTAGACCTTGTATGTGGCTAAAGTCAACAGTATCAGTATAGATGTTCATATTCTGTAATGTTTATAGAAATCAGTGCCATCAAAACCGTATCCATGCATAGCTTCAGGTTTCTTCCCAGTTTCAACCACAGCAGCAGGAAGATTAGGACACAGACAGCTAGTAAGTTTGTTTACTGCAACTCTCTTGATAACTGTGCCTAGACACAGGAAATTTGAGGTGTAGTTCCTACTGCTCAGGCCACTTTCTCTGATCTCACTTTATACTGGATCCATACTAGCTTTCTGCGTGTCAGATAGTGTATTTTACACCCTTCACACGGTTGTGTAGGTCTTTACTTGTTTGTGGCTGAACTACCTGTGTAAGCTGCCACAGCACTCAATCACACCATATCTAGGTACCTAAATGCAAGACCCTAGAGCCCAAAACAAGGAGACCGATTGATCTTTTGGTTACTCAGCCCTATTTTCTCAGACTGAACAGGACCTTTTTGAATGCAGTTACTTTTTGCAAGACAGCTGGGAAAGGGTACCCCACAGTGACAGGCAAGCAAGGCTGCTGCTCCCGTCCTACCCCCAGGAGGTTCATGGGAGAGATCATCCCAAAGGATTCAGCACAACCTGTGTGCCTGCCTTGTTGCTTCTCACTGCTTTGACTGCCAAAAACAAAGAATGAAGCTTTTTGTTTGAGAGCTAGTTAGTGTGTCCATGAGCTTATCCCTGGAGAATTGCGCAGCTGCAGAGTGATATGGCTAGAGATGGGGAGGAGAAAGTTTAGCTTAGTTTTGCCTCTCTGGCCCTGGGCAAAATTTGTTTATTACAGCCAAACAAGAATTTGTACCTCTCATAAAACTGCATTTTTTCGCTTTGCCAAAAGAGAAAAATCTTGCCCTTCTCTCAGCAACAATTCCATTACTTAAAATGCCATGGAGCGTTGACTGACTGTCTATTTCCCCTTTTTGATTAGGATCAGCAGAGTATTTTCTGACAGAAATAATATCTCCAACAAAAAATAAAATGTATCAGGCAAGTCTCAGAGATACCTGGATGGTGTGGATTCACCAGGCCCTGCCTTCCTCCGTCACTCCTGCCCGCAGCACCACGTCTGAATGGAGCAACGTTCATCCCGCTGGCACCCAGCCCCATTCTGCTTGCTTAAAGCTGCCTCTGTTCTCTACAGGAATCCGCTTACCAGCCTTTCAAAGGTGAGCGCACTAAATATATCCTTACTGCCTAATTTATTTACCTTTTGTATCAGCCTTGGTTTTGTTTTACTTGGGTTATTCTACCACTGCCATTATGCTGCATAATTGAGAGTTGATTATTCTGTGAAACTGGCAGCTGTGAGAGGTGCTGATTTAACAGCCCGGA